ATCAATTCACAAGTGCCCTCACACTCTTACTTCCATCTGCCCTCCACACCCTTGTCAAGTAGCTTCCAGGATCTTACGCTACGGCCATCCTTCTCTATCTAGTCTCGTTTTAACAACCAGCAGATCCTGAGTACGCACTGCAGTGCAGGTCAGCCTGTATTTCTGGGGTTAAGTTCTAAAGTCTGCCTTTAAGGCAAAAGTCAAGTGTAATTAAAAATCACCTATAAAAAAAAAAAATCACTCATGAAAATCCCTTAGCTGGGACCTGGGCCCTTGAAAACTCGAAAACCAAGAATTAGGTCTTGTGTGTGGAGACTTTGTGTTACCACCATAGCTTCACTTTCCCTGGGGGCAGCAGAGACCAATGCCTACGGTGAACAGGGAAGGACAGAGGGCTAAATAAAGGGATTTCTCCATCTCTACCCTGGGCTGGAAAAATTGACTTCACAAGTTACATTGAGTGTATGATAGGACTCCATTGTACTTGCAAGGCATATGCGACGTGCTATCAGGCAAAGAAATGAACGTTAGGACCCCTGCCCTCACATAACCTATAATCCAGCTGGGGGAGATTAGATCATCCTCTGAAAATGGCAGATAACCGGTACACACAAAACCATCAGAACATATGATACGAAGGGATACGGACATTCAAAGGAATAAGTGCTGTAGTGTGGGTTGGGCTCAAAAGGCTTTTCATGGAGAAATTTAAACTGTTTCTTACAACATGAATATGTTCTTCAAGGTGGGCTGACTCGGAACCAACCAGGGTTCCAGGTAAAACTGACCCTGTCACTTAAGCAAAGGATAGTATTTTCTATTGTGTCTCCACTTTCTATCTTGAAAGTGCCAGATAATCCACCTGCCACTCCATCCATAGCAATATGCTAAGTCAAGGTTCTCAGGGGAACCAGGCACCATAGTTCCAGCACTATTTGGTTACAAAGCTTAAATTAAATCTTGATATTACTGTTCCGCTAAAATAGAGAATTATACAACTAAGAACACAGTACTTGCTTCTTTACAATAGCGTGACACTTTATTACATGAGGATTTCACCTGACTTTCCCGACATATTATACATACCACAAAAATACTTTTCTTTTTTGACCCGAAGTCATTACTTGGATGCGCTCACACCAGCCTGTGTTCAAATTAAGCTTGTCCATCTCTGCTTCCTTGCAGAGTCCTAAGATATCCTCCAAGTCTCCCTGCCCAGTTTGGCTCCTTCCCGACTCTGAGGACTCAAGGTGACCGAGACAGTCCCTGGGCGATGGCCCTGGGCCACATGGCACTCTGAATGAATGCAAGGAAGCAAGTACTTAAGTACACATCCTGGACACAGTTCTGATCCTGGGCTGGCTCCAGTCACCCCTCACTGGGCTTTTTCAGAAGGGGAAGGGCTTTTTCAGAAGGGGAAGGAGTGACAGGCAAAGAAGGACCCGGAAGCTGATCCAAGGCCAGCTGGAATAAGGGTCAATAGGAAGAGAGTCCAGGCACAGATATTTAAATAGACAGCCTGACCCACATGGGGAGCAATTTAATAAATCAACCTCACATAGCACATTTCCAAAATTCAGATGCTGGCCAATTTCTCCAGGTCTGAAGGACGCTTCTGACTTTTCCTTTTAGAGGTGGAATGAGCATGAGTCAGAAATACCAAGTTCAAATCCAGATTTTGTTAAGATTCTGCTTAAGCACTCATGAGACTTTAGACATTTCCTAACTTTCAGCTTCAGTTTCTTCATCTATAAAGGGAGCTAGTTGGACTAGATGATCTCTAGTTCAGTAAACACGATTTTAAGAGCGGAAGCATCACAAGTCTGAGAAAAACCAAGAGCAAATGTTAAAGAGGCATAACAGAAGCGACAGTGGGCCTGGAGAGCCTTGGGAAGACGGCAGTGATCAGAAAGTTCCCCAAAATAAGAAAATGGCAATTGGATTAGACCCAGGATTGCTCCCTGAGGATATCACTTATCTCTTCTTTCCAGATTCTGCCCTGCAGTCATACACATATCCATCTCTTCCCAGAAGAGCTAAGAGGGATGATTCACAGGATGGACATACCCACAGATGCCACCCCCTACTTTCTACCTAGGCAGGGTGACTCAACCTTAACTACCTAAGAGAAATGAAAGATTCCAAGGTCCTCAGACCTCAGTAGCTCAGCCAACCATCTAATAACCTTTTGGAGTCTGAAACTTCTTTAATACACAGCGGAGGAAAGTTTTACAGTCTCTATTTCAATTTTACAGTCCCCAAAGTTTTAGGAACACCCAGCATGTTTTAAGGCTCTCAGATACAATATTATTCTGTTATAAAATGTTAAGTAGAGTTTAAGATGTTATTAAATATTTAAATGGCATCGTAGAAAGTTTAACCCACAAACATCTATGGTTTGTTCCCATAATGCTGCATTCATCTGCTATGCCCACACATCTTTGATATTTTACTTCTCCTGCCTCAGTAAAGTCCCCTGTTCAAGAAATTAACTTGTTATAAGTCTAAGATGGATCAAAGTTAAATTGCTTTCAAAATGGGTTTCATAAATGTAACTAAGTTTAAATTACCCAAACTACAACAACCTTTGACTTTACTCTTTGGCAGAGTGAGAATCACAGGATGTTTAATACCTGTGGAGTAGCAGGGCACACAGTAGGAATTCAGTTACTGCTTCTAAATGCATCACCATTTAGTCAGCAAATACCCATGCCAGGCAGGAATCAGGCACTTTGCATGTTATCTCTTAAGCCTCACAACAACCCTATTAAGCAGTAATATCTCCGTTTTACAGATAAAGACACTAAGGCTCAAAGTAACAGCTGCTAAACGCCCAGAAGGAATTTTGAGCTCAGGTCTCTCTCACCAGTTCCCTGAAACACTCCCACTGAGCTTTTCCATCAAGTACAGAGTTTAGGAAGCTGGCCCAGAAGTTGTGAGGTCTCAGCCTCACCGGCTGTTATTTACACACACATCCTTTACTGACAAAGGTTACAACTGATGTGGATACGGCCTGTGTGTGCTGGTTCTCCTGGTCGGGCCAATGCTGCTGGAATACTTTACCAAAAGAAGCGATTGGGGGTGGGGGAGGGGAGGGGCGCGGGGGTGGGGGGAGCAGCATTTGACATAAACCACAGCCCCTTAGAGTGTGGTTACTGCCACACTCTGAGCTCTAAGGAAAGATACAGGCCCCTCAGAGTGCGCTGCTCCTCTCCTTCAGTCCCTAAGAAGAGCATTTCTAGAAGGCATCAGACCCCAACACAGGCTGCTTCTTACTTACTTGCAGCAGCTCTAATAGAGAAGCCCACCAGAGAGAACAAGTTTTAGCGAGCATGCAGCTAACCTTAGTGACAACAGAGATCCTGGCTGAAGTCACATTTTGCAAAATCTCCACCAAGACACTTTCTTGCCCCAGTACTTCCCCTTCACAATCTTTGCTTGAACAAGTATTTCAAGTAAACCACCAGCGTCAGTAGGCATCTGGCGCAGAGAATGCTAAGGAGAATGTATTCCCCCTGCGGGCCCACGACCATTTCTGCACTAACAAGTTCATTCTCCGTATGGGTAGATGGCACATCTACAAGCTCAAGTATTCAGAGACACTAAATGTCATCCATTCATGGAGCTACCAGAAACCACCTTCCATTTCAAATTTACAGCATAACAATTATTTCTACTGAGAGAAAGCAGAGTATAAGCAGCTGGCCAGGCCTGCAGACCACCCCCAACTAATTTCTTTGCTTCACTAGCAGGTGTTACCAGAAAAATCTGACTTTAAGATTCAGGGACCCACAACATTCACCAATTCCAAAGTTCTCAATTGCTGAAATCAAGAGGTTTCCTCCAGCCCTAAAATCCCATTCCCCTCTCATAAACACAAAGTCCTCTTTCCTGTAGCTGCACTTTGCTTTCTTCGGTCTGTTGGTCCTGGAAGGACCTCAGTTCAACTAAAGGCCTGTGGGGAGGGGGGACCTTTTGTCAGTTTATTTTTCGGTAGCACAGATCAAGAATGTAGCCCACAGCGATTACGGCGACTAAGCTCCCAAATACCCTCTCCAGCCTAAAGAGTTTGATCATGTGGGAACCAAACACTGTCTCCAAAGAAAAAGAGAGGCTAAGAGTGCCGGTCTCCACTTTCTCCAGGGAAGAGCACCTCTCTGCCACGGTGCGGGGCTGTCACTTCCAAACCTTGTTTGCAAAGCACCAGCCCAGATCGGACATTTTGCTTTCATCCCTCGGCAGGGCCTGCCCGGTGCAGGAGCCCAGAGGGTCTCGGGTGGCGCCGGACGCCTTGGGGCTTGGGCGACGGCTCGGCCACACCACTAAGAGGGTCTTGTTTTCTCAGCTGATCTAGCCTGGGAACAGGTGCGTGGTTAGTTCCATCTTTTTGAAAAGGGGAAAGGCATGTAAAAGTCTCTCCTACTGGAGCACCCGCCCTTCGGGGAAAGCCTCGCAGGACGTGATGAAAGGTGGCTTTCCAACTTCTGCGGGGCGCGCGAGTCTGCGGGGGGCCGCGGTGCTCTCTGTGTTTGGGAAAGGCCTGGATCTCCCTGAACGACCCTCCCAGTCACCCCACCGCAGCGTACAGCGACCCTCCACCCCACGTCACCCCCGCCTAGCACACACGTGAAGCTCAGCAAAGCATGCCACCTGCCGGGTTCCCGGCAAACACGCCCGGAGGGAAGGACCGCCGGAAAACACTTTGTTTAAAAAAAAAAAAAAGTAAACTCTCCCGGGGCTGAGGACAGCCCCGCCTGGCACCGGGGCCGCGGTCCTCAGGGGTCGGCCCCCGGGTTGTCCTCCTTCCGGGGCTGAATGGGGGGAGGCGCGGCGCCGGGCGGGGCCGGAGGCGAGCGCGCGGGGCGTCTGGCCCCGCTCCCCCCGGGGGCCGGCGGAGTCCCGGGCGAGGCAGGGCCGGCCGGCGGGAACGCGGCGCGCCCCCGCCCCGGTTCGCTCGCGGGCCGGCGCCCCGATGGGGTGGGCAGAATAGGGGAACTCACAGCCGCTTGTCCTCGGGCTGCAGCTGCCAGTGCATGGCCAGCGAGAAGCCGAAGAGGCTCCCGGAGTCCCCGGTTTTCTCGATCACATTGTCCTCGCGGGTGTCCAAGTTGAAGGCGGCGCCGAGCCGCTGCAGGAGCCCCGCCGACAGGTAGAGCAGCCACAGTCGCCCCGCGGCCGCCATGGGCCGGCGCGCCGGGAGGGGAGCGGGAAGCTGCGCGGCCGCCCTGCGCTCCGGGCTGGGTTCGAGGCTGCCGCCGCGGCCACCTCGGTCTCCTCTCGCCGCCTCGCCCGGCCCCACCCCCGGGACGAGTCGCGCTCTCCGCCTGGCCGCTCCCCCTCGCGGGCAGCTCCCGACCACTGAATGAGCCCGTTGTTCTCTGGAGACTCGCAGGCGTTTTATCAAGTGACGAGGACGCCGGCCCCGCCCCGGCCCTCCCCACCCCCTGGCCCCTCCTCGCACGCCCGCCGCCGGCACCTTCCCGGCCGTCCCGGCTGCGGTGCGGTGCGGCGAGACGCTGCCCCTCCCTGCCGCCCCGCACCTGGCCCGGAAGCCACGGCGGGGAGACCCGGAGGCGAGCTGCGGGTCGGGCAGCCCCAGCTCGGGTGTCCTCCTGGAGAGAAACACTTGAATTGTGGTTGCCATTCGGCGCAGAGCCGGAAAGGCGTTTACTACCTGTTAGTAAAGACAAGTGCTGGTGATGCGCCGGCCCTAATGGCCCGGAGCCCTGGGCGCTCGCCGACCGAGGCCCACGTGCAAATGCAGGCTTCCTTCCTTCATTCCACAAGTGTTTACGGAGCGATTAACGCGGACCAGGTACTTGGGGAATGGAGCTGCATGGATTCTCCTCAGCCCTCAAAGACCTAACTAACCGTCGAAAAGGATAACAGTACAAATAGGGCTGTGCAATTGACAACGCGCAGCTGTTATCTCATTTCATGCTCCTAACAGTCCTATGAGGTGGGTGTTTTCTTTTTGCAGATGAGAAAACTGAAGCTCAGCCTTGCCCCAGAGCATCCACGGATCTGCGTCCAGGTGGAAAAGAGAGTTTGTGGGAGAAGTCACACTGGTGTAGGCAACTTCACACTTGGTTTCCAGGTGTTCTCAGACTGAGAAGGGCCTCAACAGTGAAGGATGAGTTATTTAAAGTGGCACCCACGAGCTCTTCTTTCCTGCCCCCAAATTCCCAGAACTAGTTGGGAGGAGTACTTCCCTGCCAAGAGACCGCTCTGAGTTCGGTGTGGGTGGCCTAAAGGCTCCAGCCTCCAGCACAAGGGGTGGGGCCTCCAGTGAGGTGTTGACCCCTGGGGTAACTTTATCCTGCAGGGGTTGTTAACCCGGGGAGAGAGAATTCAGGTTACTGTGAATTTGGATGGCAAAAAAAAAATTACATTTTTATTTTCACTAATCCTTTAACTGACATTTAGCATTTCCTTCCATTATGAAGGTAGGCAGCACACCACGGTGGCAGTAAGAATCCATGACTTAGTCTCCAGTAGAACCCATAGGTTTTTTACATCACATCACAGTTGCTGCAAATATCTTAAATTACAGTAGTTATCAGATAGACCCTCAGCTAGATCTTGTTATGTAATATGTCAATTAAAATGTATATAATAGTGCTATAACACAATTTTTTAAAAATATTGTGTTAACTGTATTTCAATATAATTGGTTTCCTTTGTAATCCCATGTATTTTATTTTATTTTATGCATTTAAAAACCTTGTTCTGGGCCTTCCCTGGCAGTCCACTGGTTAAGACTCCGTGCTTCCAATGCAGGGGACTCAGGTTCCATCCCTGGTCGGGGGAACTAAGATCCCACATGGTGCACGGCATGGCCAAAAGATTAAAAAAAATAATTAAAAAAAACCTTGTTCTGAAAAGGGGTCCGTGGTCTTCAGCAGTCTGCCAAAAATGCTAGCCCAAAGGCTCCTGGAATGCCTTGGGGAGCCTGCCTTGGAATCTGACATAGAAAGAGAATCAGAGTGCAGTCCCAGGGAAGAGCTGGAGCTCTGAGTGTGCCTGTAGTGATGGGGGGCAGGGGTCATGTGCCATCTCGCCGCAAAGTGTATTTACACCAAGGGAGCAGCCTGTACCACACCCAAAAGCCACCTGAACATCATCAAGGGTCCACAGGTGGTAACAGCTGCCAGGAGTGGGGTATGTCCCACTTCTCTCCCAATCGATACCTCCAGTCAAATATAGTCCAAAGTGGGGTACAGTGAGTTCAAGTTCAGTAGACAATCTTGAAGATCACACTGTTTTAACCAGTACGTGATAACCTTGATAAGGTTGAGAAACCGTTGGAGACTATAATCTAGTAAGCGAAGAAACATCTGCAATATGATTTTTCATGCAAGTTAGCCTTTCTTCTCAATGTTAAACACATACTATTCCAGAGAGTACAGGTCCCAGCTATTATAGTTAGAGCACGACGAACCTCACTGCAGGCTGGTACTCAGCAGGAGCCACTGATGGGGCTGTAATGGTTGCTGAAATACTTCTGAACTAGTGGCCAAAAGCTATGCCCTGAGCTCCCCAAGTTCAACTGACCCCACCCTGGCCACTTTCCTAGGACCCGCCAACTTCCCTGCAATTCAGCAGCTCAAAGGTTTGAGCCCTTAAGCCCTGCCCGGCACTACAAGGGCTTCTGATTGGGTGTGGTCATGTCATACCAGCTGTTAACTATACCGAATATCACCCCTTGCTTCCAAGAGTAATTCTTGCTTCCTCCCAAAGATATGTTTAGTCGATGACGTTTGAATAGCCAGAGTTAGCTCCTTGATCCCAAATACCAGTTAGGCTCAAATTGAAATTTTACATAATGTTAAATTTATATATAGTGCTACCGAATTGAGTACTACTTATGTGGGAGACAGAGGGGATAAAAACAAGGATTAGAGACTTGTTCTGGAGTATGCCAAGTGCCCATCACAGAGGACCCACACTCCTGCCTTCCACCTATCTCTGGCTACGATGCCAAACATACTTGAAATTGAGTCAAACCCAGCCTCTTAATAATAACCTCTTTGAAGATTGGCAGCGCTAATTCACAATCAAGGTTTGTGAATTAGTTGTCATTTCCGTGGTAATTAGTTAAGGCTGACATAAGAGGTGTCTTAGAAAAAGGAGGTTTAGAGGTCCTTCAGGATCTGCTGAGGACAATGTCAGTCTATAGGGTCAAAGGAATGAAAGAATCAAGACATCTAAAAATTATGAAGTAAAGGGCTTCCCTGGGGGCGCAGTGGTTGGGAGTCTGCCTGCCGATGCAGGGGACGCCGGTTCGTGCCCCGGTCTGGGAGGATCCCACATGCCTCGGAGCGGCTGGGCCCGTGAGCCATGGCCGCTGGGCCTGCACGTCCGGAGCCTGTGCTCCACGGCAGGAGAGGCCACAACAGTGAGAGGCCCACGTACCACAAAAAAGAAAAATAAATAAAATAAAATAAAAATTTATGAAGTAAAGACCTGAGGAGGGAGGTACATAGTTATAATGAAAAACGTTCTGGAACAAAAAGACACTTGTCTGGAACCAAAGTGAGAGAGATAGCTTGATGATAAAGGTGTGCTGACCATTAGATGGCATGGGTGTGTGTGTGTGTATGAAAAAACCAAAGGGCTCTACAAATCCAGTTATGACAAAATTGTGTCATGTTCCCAAAAAGCCTCATTAGAAAACAAACAAAATGGAATACCTAAGGAAATGATACAATAATCACAGAAGAAATTTTACAAACCTAAATTTTTAAGTAAAAAGGCAGTGAAAGCAATGAATAGAAGCATTTGCTCAGTTGACAGCTTTTGAATTCTTGTATTTTACCGATACACTTTTCAAAAGAAATTTTTTTGTTCTATATTCCACTTTTGGAAGAGGAGCTTGTAAATAATTTTAAACTATGGGTCACCCATGCAAAGGTCTGAGGTGCTCCTGTCATGCCTGATATATTTTCCATTTCCTGGGACCTACTTTAATCATTTTTGCTCTCAGGTTCCCTGTTCTGTTGACTTTGTCGTCACCAACAGCAGAGGATATCATATTTGCTGCTTTTAGGCATCGTAGAAACTATTAAAACATCTCTTTATTCTTCTGTGGTTGCGTTACATCGCCATATCAACAGTTTCACATGTTCCCTGCGGCCCTTTAATGAAGGCCATTTGTCAGAGTGGTTAGCACATGGTCCGTGGAACCCAAGTCACTTCAAATCCCATCTCTGCTCCACACTGGCCAGGTGACCTTAAACAAGTCATTGAATCTCTCTCCACCTCAGTTTCCCCAACTATGAAGTAGGGATAATAGCATCCACCCTCAAAGAGTCGCCTTGCCTTGAGGATGAATAAAGTTAGCGTGAGCTGAAGCACTTAGAATGTTGTGTCAGAACTTGCACCCGTGTGTACAGGCTTTCACAATTCGGCTTTTACAAGTTATGCACTGACCTATGGTATACCTACAGTTTTATAAACCAGGTGTATATAGCAAACTGTTCCAAACTGGGATTCAGACTGTTCAGTGGCAGATTTTTTTGTGTTTCAGAAAAAGAAATAGCGTTTTCCCCAATTGCTTTTTTGTCTCTATATACATGTTCAGGGGTTTTCCTTCCACACTGAACCTTAATGCTTTTTGTTTGGATATTTTATTTGCTATAAGTCACAGCACATTTTCTAGGGGCAAATCTGCCTTTGGTTTGGATCAGGATAATCCAAATTGCCAGCTCTACCTTATTTTAACACTCAGATCTATTTTATTTATTTATTTTTCCAGTTTTATTAAGATATAATTGATATAGAACGTTGTATAAGTTTAAGCTATACAATATAATGATTTGATATATGTATATATTATGAAATGATCACCACAATAAGTTTAGTTAATATCCATCACCTCACAGAGTTAGTTTTTTTCCTTGTGATGAGAACTTTTAAGATTTATTATCTTAGCAACTTTCAAATATACAATACAGTGTTGTTAACTATAGTCACCATGTTGTGCATTACAACCGCCCAACATATTTATCTTATTAACTGGAAATTTGTTTCTTTTTACCACCTTCACCCATTTCCCCCACCACCCGCCTCGGGTAATCGCCCATCTGTTCTTTGTTTCTATGAGTTTGCTTTTTTTTTTTTTTCAGATTCCACATATAAGTGAGATCATACAATATTTGTCTTTCTCTGACTAATTTCACT